CATCAATTGTCTATCACAATATGGATTTTGTTGTTCACTTTCGACCATTAAGCGGACAACAGCAACCATATTTTGATTACAAGCCATTGCTACCTCCTGTAAGAAAATATAAAATGTATTAGATATATGAAAAGTAGTACATGAATAACAAATAGTCAAACAAATTGGATCTCACGTCAATGAGCATAAAGTCAATATGCACTCACGTCTAAAAGCAAACATTTTAAAAGAAGATTAGTAATTCATAATGTAATAATTTATAAATCTAGTAAAGCAAAACTTGAGTTCAATGAATGCCATAAAACAAACGAAAAAGAGTTCAAACAAAAAAACTCCTAACTTAAATCTATCATCATAAACTAAAATTATCTAGTTCTTCTTTCCAGTGACTCTTTCTAGATACTTAATCTTTTGCTCRTCATTCGGCAAAGTTAAGAAAATCTGACGACTATTCTCGTCTCCAGCCAGGTACTCAAGAGCCGTCCAATACAACTCGCCATCATGGTCTAGAGTAGACATTTTTAGCAACTCTTCAGTGCATATGGCACTACTAAATGGGTTAAAAGAGTCAAATGTTTTCCGACCCGCTGACCAAAACCTCTRTTGATTTTCTAGGGTACTTGTGATACGATCCCAATGATCCAAGTTAGGTCTTTTCCGCGAAGATCTTGGTTTGGCTGGTTTCTCCTTAGACTTACCAGAGACATGTGTTTGGTGTGTCTTCGGATTGTCTTCAGGTCTACGGATGGGTGATAGTATCTCTTCAAGTTCTTCTTCTTCTTCAAGTTCTGTATCTTGAGGCAATTGACTCGGTCCGTCCTGGTGTTGCCATCCTTCACTTACCGATATTGTAACTTTGCTGTATAAATTATCAAGGAGTGGAATATCACGTAGTGGATATTGACGAACTTTTGAGGCATCGGGACAAGCCTGCAACATAAAAAAAAATATCGATTATGAATAGAAACATGGTTGCAAGTGTCTAAAAATATTGGTCATTGTTCACTATATTACGAAAGATTACCTTAATCAGTTGATCCCACCAGTCATTGCTCATGTTTAGCTCTCCGAACTCATTGAATCCCAACCCGGTGGCGTTCTTTGTGACACGTTTATAGATATCATACTGCCTCCTTACTGTCTCGAACCGAGTTTTAAAWTTTTTCCATTGAAAGTCGAAACCAAATCGTTRCAAAAATCRGGCTCGTATGTTTTGCCTTCCCATTTCAGTAAAACATGTACCTCTCCAGTATCCTTTATCTTTCTCTTTATTAGCTAACACTAGCAACTCATGACTCATTTCATGGGTCCACGTAAACTTTGGCTAAACRAGTCCRAACAAACAAAACTATACATAAAATTCCAAGCAACATAATATTCAAGCAAAAAAGAAAAACCATATACATAACTTCATACCTGACAGTTGGCTGCTGCACATGTTCTTCTTGATTAGACATGTTCGAGGCTGTTTACAAAACATGAATATTATATTAGATATACATATGAAAAGTTACAGAAAAACAGAGAGGTAAGAAGAGAATATTGAAAAACAGAGTACATGGAAAATATTAAAAACATCATCTTAAACAATAAATCACGTAAGTTGCTTGTCAAAAACAAAAACAAAAACTAACGATGATGATGTTCTCAGTTTTTCTTCTCCAACGTTTTTAGGTTTAGGTCAAAATAAAAACATGAATTTATAGTAAATTCTCAATGGCATATACAGAAAATTGATCAAATAATTAAGGATAATAATGTCTTTTTATAATTTTAAGGGCTTTATGCTTTGGAAAAACTCCTTTGGGGAGCATTAGGCTCACGAGCATTTATGAGGAATTCATGCTCACTTTCATGCTCAATTAATAAAACATGATTGGCAAACAAAAAGCATCAAGCCCACTAATATGCTCTCCCAATCAATTTTTTTCCAACCATGTTAATATATAATATAAGGATAATTTGCTATAAATACAACAAAAAAATTATAACTTAAAAGATAACCAAAAACCCCAAATCCAATGGTCATGATTTTGCCACATACCTCATCTTTACTTACTTTTTAATTTTTTTTTTTTGTTATACACCAAAATTATCCTATAATATAAATCACTGTAAAAGTAATCAGATTCTTTAAATAAAATATACTCCTAATAAAAGTAATGTTTATAGTGGTTGAACTAATGCTACTGGACAGCAATTATGTAATTAAAATAGTGTGGTTTTCTTAATTGGAAAACATATTTCTATGCATGTCAAGTTG